TCGGAAGGTTCGCTGCTAAAAACTCGACTATGCTGAATCTGCATTTTGGTCCATTCTGGTCGCATGTCACAAAACTTAAGATTTTTTCTTTGCATTTGACTATAAAGAGGTTGATAATGTTATTAAAAGTAAAAAAAAATTGTCAAATGCTGGTTGAAAAGTACCAATTTTCAACCAATCAAAAATAGTATGAGATTTTCCAGATCCACTTGGACTAACTAAGGAAATAGAAATTCGTTCTATGGTAGATATTAACTTAATCATAGCTTTGGAAAAGAAAGTACTTAACCGACTGTACTTGATAAGATAGCTACCAAAACAGTCGTTTCTTCACATGTTGTGGATAACATAATTCGAACAATTGCACATGCTAGCATCAAAACTATAACAAAAAATTGGCACAGAAAAACTAAAAGAGATCTATTACATGTACGTTTTTAGAATTTCATTCAGTTTCTGTACGTTTATTTTCTACAGTGCATTCATCAATGATGATGCAAGATTTTCTGTGTGTCTCTACATAACCTAGTAATCAAGGAAGTATATCGAGTAACTTGTCATATTCTTCTCTTTCTAGAAGTAATGATTGATTGTTTTTCCATTGATTTCCGTTTCTACAAAATTCTATAAGTTCTACTTTTTTTGCTATCGGATCTGTATCCTATGTAAACTTTTCTTCTACCATTATTCAGAGTCCACTCAAAATGAGATATTTGTGAGTCTACGTCCAAATTCTGCAAGCCTAGAGAATTTTGTGATTCAGTAATTGATAGTAATCTATTTTGGGACTTTTCCTCTAGAACAAAGTGAATAAAATCCTATTTTTCAGATTAAGTTTTATGGAAAACCAATATTCCAACTCATGCTGCTCAACACAGACACTAAGTGAAATCTGATTTTGAGGACAAATATTTAAATTACAAGACAAAAATTATAAAGAACACAATTTATTGTACATTACAGTTCTCGACAAACATAAAGTCTCCCAAAAATTGGGACAGTTCTTTGAATTGGTTCAAAGTATAGTTGACATAGGCAACTTCTTTCAATGTTTCATTCTCTTTTGCAGGGAACAGTCGAATGGGAATGTAGGGAGGTTTGTTAACTTTGTACTTCTTGGTCGTGACACAAACTATTCTTCTAATGTAAGATGCTATGTCTAACACTTTGTTGCAGTAGGCAAGCTCCTAATCCATAGTTGACTCCTTGTCAGAAGTGAGTTCTAATATAGGAACGAGTCTAAGGTTTTCAGCATCGTGAATAACAGTATTTCTAATTGCCGAGATTGCTTCTTCTTCTTTTTCACCAAGATAAGTTTGCTGTCTTTTCTCGTTTTGTCCCAACTCAATTTTCTTGAATGGTTGAAAGCAGGGTTCAAAATGAATTTTACCCTTGTAGGATTTTTGGGAACAAGCAAATCTCCCAATTCTTCCTTGATTTTTTGAGAATTCAATAAAATTTGGACGTGTGTCTTTTCTTGAGTACATTTTCCAACAGGAGAACAGACTGATCAGATGAAGAGAAATGAGAGAAAAGATTTTTGAGATTAAATGAAAATGAAAGTAAGCAATATGAGTCATTCAATTAACCATAAAAGGAATTAGAACTATATTTGGAATTTTGAGTTAAGTTTCCCAATATGGAATTGTGTAGGTGGTTGTTTTACTATAAAAATCCACAACTTTCAGCAAAAATCATTGTTTCAGATGGCAGCAGCTATGTGTCAAGCGCCTGCCAACTTTTAGTCAGATTGTTGTCAAAAAACGCAATTTATTTCCGTTTCCAGCGATTCGTAAGAAAAATAAATAGTAACCAAGAGTTTTTGTGTCTCTACCCACAATTCTTACAGTTCTTTGGAAGATTGTAAGTTCCACATACTTCTGATTGGTTCATCTTTTGATCAAGTTTTACAACGATTGGGTAATTTTCATTTCACATACCAAATTATTGATTGTCTTTCTACTCTGAACAAATAAAGATTTAGTTCCAATGTCATTTCATCAACTGGTGAAATTTTCAATCAACTACCGCGCTGTTCATCAAGAATTGGAATGGAAAGTGGCAGAAAAAAAGCCAAGTGTTGCAAGAAAAAGACTGTTACGCGAAAAACTCAAACGTCACTATTGATTTTTAAACTAGAAACTAGCTTCCACACAAACTATCGGTTCAGCTTTTCTAGAAAGAGTTCGTAAAGTGCAAAACACAAAATATGAACAGGATTTTAAAAAAAAATTGACTGTTTCTTTGATATTCATGGATTTATAAATAGTGGTCATGTCAATTTTTCAACAAAAAACTAAAAAACTATCGATAATCCATCTAATTTCTTTCATATACTTAAAAAAACTTCACCGTTGCTAAGGAATTTGCAAAATCTCTTCAAACTTGTAAAAAAAGATGTAATGTTTCTTCAAATTTTCGCAAAAAAAAAATGTTTCAAGTTTGTGCAAAAAACGTTTCAAATTTTTTAACAAATTGCAAAAAAAGGGTTTAAAGTTTTTTTACCAGATGCGAAAACTGTTTCACTTTTTTTGACAAGAGGAAAAAAGTGTTTCACTTTTTCCGACATAATCCGAAATTTTTTTCACTTTTTCGACAAAATGCGAAAAGTTTTTCACAAATTTTTGACAAGATGCGAAAAATGTTTCAATTTTTGTGACAACATACGAAAAGAATTTCTCATTTTTTGATAAAATGCGAAAAGTTTTTCTTTTTTTCCTGCAAATTGTGAAAAAACCATCAAATATTTTCTACTTGTGTAATAATTTTCTAGTCTTTTTCCTAATATGTGTGAGATATTCACTCAAGCTTTTTAACATCTGTGCGAGTTCGGAGCACTAAATTAAACTCTAATTGTTTTTCAATGATTTACCCTGAACCTCTCATCTATTCTTATAATTGAAATGTAAAATAAGAAATTAATTAATTACAAAGAACGAAGTTAAAATCAGACAAGAATTATTTACAAAAAAAATATTTAATCAAAGAGCTGTCGAGCAGCAGTAGATTTCTGAATGTTCTTTATAGAACGCAGAGCTGGACGAAATTCCATCGCTGATGGTTGTTGAGGAGGGGTGTTTTGAGGTGTCTTTGTTTCTGAGAAACCCTTATCTTCATCTATCGCGATGGGGTTTTCTGCACATCCTGCTTCCTCCCAAGGAAAGACGAAGTCGTCAACTGGTTGAGCCACAAATCTTGAGTCAGGAATCTCGGGGTATTTCATTCCAACATGCTCAGGCACTTCATCCATCAATTGCATTGTTCCAAGTTGGTTCTCTGTGATGGGTACTTGTATCGTATGATGCTCGTTAAAATCCCTTCGCCTCACTTCCACCATGAGCCAGACTTGGATTGGGACGTTCATTCGCGCCTGAAAAACTCCAGAGGCAGTTTCTCGCATTTGAATTTGTACTAGATCAGGCGAAAATTCTACAGAGTCCCTCATCTAACGAGAGCGCTTGGGGACAACCTCCAATTTCGTCATCGTCCTCGTTTTCGCAAATTGCTCTCGCTGAGTCGCCATCGGAACTCCATTGGAACTCCATCGGGTTGCTCAACAGCATCTGCTATATTTGCTATCAGCGGCCTCCCTTTCTCGTTACTTGAATCAACTTCTCTATCACCTTTCCCTCTTTGATAATGGGGGGTCGAGGGCATCCGCTTTGGGAATATATTGCGTGGCAGATAACGTATGGGAACCATGGAACACTCTTTCGTTCCCAACCACAGGAAACCTTCATATTGGCTGAACGTTGCTCTATTTCATTGCACGATTCCCATTCGAGTTCAGACCAGCCGGCCTCTGGGTTGGGTCCTACTCCGGCAGATTTTCAGGCCGTGTAGCGGTAGTTACTGAATTAAACAACCTGCCGATCATATTCATCATATCCTGCATCTGCGAAGCCACCTGATTCAATCGTTGGTCGGTGGTCGTCCGCATCCCTGCCATCTACTGATCGTGTCTCGAGGTCTGCATCTCCGTCTTTTTTGACAACTCACTCTGCCGTGAGCCCTGCATTTGGATCTGCATTGCTATCTAATCTAGTCTATGATCAGTACACGTCTGCAGTCCAGTCAGTTCGACCTGTATTTGTTGCGCGTTACTGACCTCTAAACTTTCCCTGACCGCTCCAGTCACCATGTCTGGTACACCCTGCAACTCTCAAAGATAGTTTGGTTGTTTCTTGCTCCTCGTTCTGGCAATTTTGTCAGCCAGTTCCAGAAGCTGGGCTCGAATCACCGCCTGGTTTAATTTTTCAAACTCCTCGCATAGAAGTAGCTCCTGCAGCTCCGAATCAAGTTCATAGTTCATATGTTCATATCGTATCTTGCTTGCGCGCCCATGTTTGCGTTCGCCACATCACCTAGCGATCTGACTTGTAACGAAAACTCTCTAAGCCCTTCCTTAAGCTCGGCAAGCATACTCAATAATGTCGGCTCAGGGAAGCCATCAACTTCTTCGATGAAGTGATTCGGCATACTCGAGGGCTCGTCTAGAGCCCAGACTGTCAAACACGTGGGCACTACCATCCTGGCTTGTTAATCTTCCCACCGGTTTGCATATGCAGCCCACGAGAAGTGTTTCCTCCAGACCGCCCAACTCTGGTAGCTACACGAAGGAAACTGATCTGGCCATAGTGTCCCCAATACAAATACGCCCTGTTGCCTGTGTAGCGCGATCGCTGCTGCAACTGCCGCTTTCACAACCAGCCGTCTGTCCCGATCTTCCATGTCCTATTACACTCGAATCTTCACTCGGCAGCACACGCTTTACGACTGCAATACAGAGTATGGCCCACCCCGGATCGCCAATGTAGATATAGGCGATCTCTAGATATAGGGCTGCTTCTCTAGATTCATTCTTTCTTTCCTAAAGACACCGCAAAAGGGTCCCTTGGGCAGTGGATTCAGCGGGACGACCGAGATTCACTACTATCTACAATCACGTAATTTGTGTATTATTAGGGGTCAAATCAAACCATAAAGTCACCCGAGGGAAGCTTATTAAATTCTCCGTCCATTCATACTATTCAGAAGACTTAACTCTCATGCTCCGGTCCTATTACTATCAATTTCCGCTGGGACTACTTTTCTTGGGTCTACTTGAACTGGTTTCAATAGATCCTTCGACAAGTTAAACTAATCCCAATAATTACCACGTCCACTTTGAAATAACTCTACTACTCCAAGGTGGCAATGTAAAACTATATCTCTATAAGCTTCTGCTCTAGTTCCCAAAATATAAGTTTTCCTCCCAATTTTTAGGAAGGTGACCCATTCTCATATCCATACTAATTTGCCTCGAGGTTTTCTATGCAATGTTGGGATCAAAACGCCCAAAGGTCAACTGAAGGTCGTCCAGGGGTCAACCGAGGTCAAACTTCGATATTTATGTTCAGAATCCTATGTGCATCCAAACTACTAGGTTCCATCCAAATCACACTAATACTCCACTAGTTATCCCATTTCTAAGGTCCGGTATCACTTTTCCGGAAAAAAGCTATTAACAACGGAAGGAGTCGCGGGAGGGTTTTCACTCACATTGGGTTTTTTAGGGGTTCGTATCTTGTGTCAATTGCTGCAATAAAATCCTTATGCCACCGTCCATTACTTTGCGTTAATTGCCTATTTACGATCTAAGTGGTTTTTTTTTCAAGTGCTAATAGCTTCGAATCCACCAGTTTGAAAAGGTTCAAATTCTAGCACAAGATGTATCTTGCCATCACCTATCATTCCTCCAAATTTCAGCTCCTTGCGCTCATTGGAGGTCGAGAAACGGTTTACGAAATTTAGGGGTGGATTTGTTTACTTAGGGCATAAAACTGGAAGCGGCGTCCTAGGGGTCTGGAGTTCCAAAGTAAAGCCTACCTCAACTAGGCCTACAACATACTAAAGTTTGAGCCCATTACCACCTCTAGTGTCCGAGTTCAGTTAGGGCCATTTACACTTCCGGCGACCGTTATCACTAGCCCCCAAGGGTCTGAGGGGTCCCGTTTTTTGGATTCCCAAGTCAAATCATCTCTAGTATCGCTTCTCTGAATTTCATAACATTAGCTTTCTTAGTTCCGATTTGGGGGGGGGGGGGGGGGGGTCCGCCGATTTTGTCAATTTTTTTCTGACATAGGAGGGACGATATCTTCGAAGAATGAACTATATTGAACTCAAACATTTTGCTTGCTGTACTACTTAACTTCATGGCTAATCAATCTTACGTTCAGGTTACTATAGAATTTAATACAGTAGAATCACCAAATCTACATAAAATATTATTTTAAAAAATATATCTGTGATCTTGGTGAACTCAAGGCATCAATTCAATATCGTTCAGGTACTGAAAAAGTCGTCAATTTGAGAAAAAATGATGTTTTTTGGGGATAATTGAGAAATTACAGTAATTAGCCTTCAGTTTTCCATGTCACAGAATGAGGGACTGTTATTCATCAAAGAACCTTTCTTTACAATGGTTTCTATTATCTTCCAACCCCCTGTTTAGGATCGTCAACATGATTTAAAACTATCACTCTTGAGGTAGAAATTTGCATGTCTGGTGTCCGATGAGCAGACAAGAACCCGCATTTGTATTCACAAGTTTTTAATCCTCCCCGGATGTTCAAATATCAAAATAGAAATGCCGCAAACTTAATCCTCTTGACAAATTTTATAATCGATAATCGGACTGTGTTGATAGAACGTTTTGATTTTAAGTTTTGGTCTCTTTTCCTTCCCCCACTTGTGAATCTGTTACAGACTGGCCATTTCCACCTGGTCTAATTAGTCTTATTAATAACATTGTCTGATTATAACAAAAATTGGCATCGAGCTGATTAGGCCATGACAAATATATTGGTTTTCATACCAGATGATCCCCTTATAATTGATTTTCATGTGAGGTTGTGTGGGTGTGTGTGTGTGGGGGGGGGGGGGGTTGGGGCAGGGAAAGGGGGAGGGAACATACTTTATTTCCGACAAACAGCCGACTTGCAGGCATCCTCGAAAAATCGTGAAATAGTTTATGCATCAAAGCCAGGGGAGAAATGGGAAAAAATTCAAAGTTATTATGCAGAAAAACTATTGAAAGTTGCTGTAGCAAAAAAAAGTTCCCAATTTTTGAGACTCAGAATATCCAAAACAAATTATTAGCTGCGCGGGTTGTTTTGGGAAGTGTAATAGAAAAAAAGGCGATAACCCTTCCTCAAAGACCCGACCCCATGTGGACTCAAAGGCTATCATCCCTTTTGTTAATAACGAATTTTCCAGTCCTCCCGTCTTTTTATTCCATGGAAGCCTATTTAACATGACTTTTTGCTTTAAAACTTAAAAAAAAAACAAAAAAAAACGAATTAACAACAACTGTGAACAAATTTTACAACTTTTCTTCCATGAAAATTTGACTTTTGAACTTCCTAAAGTAAATTTTAGGAAATGCAGAAAAACAACGACATCCGTTACGACAATTTCCCCCTTCAGTAGTTTTTCCCCCAGCAATCACTACGTGGGGATCTAAAATTTTTCATTGCTAAGCTGCAGGGCTGTTTTGGGAAAGACAACTCCTTTTCATTTTCTCCTCATTTTTCTACTAGTGATTAGCAATCATATTTGGGTATCATATTTTTAGGCTTATAAGACCGATTGCTAAACCATAAAGGCAGGGGTGAGATGGAGATTGAGAGGGATAAATAACAGCACGGGTTTTTTAATAGCCTCGAGGCTCAAGGAAAATGCGCCGTTAGAAATCAAAGAAAGAAATAGTCCTTCGCCTCTGACATTGCACTCAAAACAGGTGACATTGTTTGGATAGTCGAAGAGCGAAGCTCTAGATACATTGTTTTTCGCCGCTTCAAAACAACAAAAACACAGCAAGGATGGTAACAGCTCGTAACGGAAAACCAACCCGGCCGACCGTCAATCACTGGTTCATTCTCGCTTTGATTTGAGCTGAGTAGGTTTTCGCTTAATTTAAGGGCAAGAAAAATGCTAACATAAGTTGATGGGTTTTAAAGTGACTTTCTGAGTGAAATCAATCGCAAAACTCCTGCTTGGAAAATAAGTTCTTTACAAATGCCAGATTTTTGTGCCAGATTTTTTAGAAAGCTTCTGAAATGAACATAAAATCCTGTTCGATAGTTTAATTTTTACTGATATAACATGGATTATAATGAGGTTACTTTTTTATCACCAACCGAAAAAATGATCGAAACATTGGATGAGTTACAAATGTGAGCAGAGCCGACAGAAGCCAACAAACACTTCCCCTATTTCTAATTTGGCATCCCGTGCTGAGGAGCTTGACTCACGATTCGACCGAAACGGTCAAACGATCTCCGTTTTCGACTTTTTTCGGTTTTTTGCCGAACATTGTTCGACTTTATCGGACATTGTTCGACTTTGTTCAGTTTTACTCGATTTTGTTCGACTATAATGGACATCGTTCGACTTTGTTCGAATTTCTTCGAATTTATCGGTAATTTTTCGCTTTTACTGGGAATTAGCTTCGCTCATGCGGCGTCAAGGAATACTCTCTAATTGAATTTATCATATGGTATTTATTGTAGCACTTGATATAATTAATTTTTGGTGGGAACCCGGGTCGAGGTCGCGGACTTATGTTACGACCATTGCGACTCAAAAAATGTATCTTGAGATAATTGCGACTCAAATGGTTTATGTTGAGACCATTGCGACTCAAATTGGGTGTGTTGCGAACATTGCGACTCACAATGTATATCTTGCGACCATTGCGACTCAAAATGTGAATCTCGCGACCATTGCGACTAAAATTGGGTATGTTGCAACCATTGTGACTCAAAATGCGTATGTTGCGACCATTGTGACTCAAAATGTGTATCTTGCGACCATTGCGACTCAAATTGGGTACCTTGCGACCATTGCGACTCAAATTGGTTATGGTGCGACCGGTGCGACTCAAAATGTGTATCTTAAGACCTCTCCTACTCGATTTGGGTTGTAGATTTCTGCCGGGGAGTCGTCTCCTCTAAGCACGCTTTCACTCTACTTAACGACCGCAGAGTTTCTCCTCTTTATACCGTGTAATAGCGGGGGACACTAAAACACGATACTCCGAAAGGGTTATGGTGGTGGTCAGACTAAATCAGCCGATCAAAGGATCACGCAACTTCCCCCTTAATTTAGGCTGTTTTCGGCTCTCCTCTTGCGCTTTTAGCTGTTTCAGGAATTCGTGGGCACAACAAGTAATTTCTCAATCGCAAAGGAATAAAAAGCAATTTATAGTGCCCTTAATGAGCTAACTACTATTTAGCGTTTTCTAAAATGAAGCCCGCGTTTTGTTCCGTTCAATCGCTCTGTTCAATTTTCGCTTGTCGCAATTCTAAAATCGCCAACTCGCTCACACAATTATTTTAACCCTTTACTAAACTCTGGTTGAAGCGCAACTCGCTCGCACAAAGAGTTCAACCCGATACTAAAATCGGGTTCCAATCAACTCGCTCACACTAGTAGTTCAACCCATCACTAAAATCGGTTTCCAGCGCAACTCGCTCACTAGCAATAATTGTTCTCTACTCTGACTGAGAACCAACTACTCTTAATAGTAGCCAACAACTGTTCTCTTCTCTGACGAGAATCAACTACTCTTAATGGTAGCTAACACTATTCTGACTCTTAAAGGATCTCCGGTACCCTCCATTTTCTTATCTTTCTTTACACTTAGTTTTTGTTAAGTCATGCCATTCCCAATCAGTCCGGACATTCGCTTAAATCACCCGTCCGCACATGTTTAAGACTATATCCCTCCCCCTGTCAACTCTGCCACGTGCCAAATTCGGTTTCTTTGGCCAAACTTTTCACGCTTATTAGACACCCGGTATAAGGTAGGTGTCACAATTTCACCAAGCAAACAAATGTCATACAATTCTAATCAGCTAATTCTTGACCTCGGTGACTTCAGCCCTTGATTTCAACTTAACCTCCATACCAGGCTTATTTACTCCGTGACCCTCCGTAGGTCTTTATTTTAATTATCCCGTTAACGT